ACATCCAGCAAAAAATTTTCGTAAACCTTGTATAATATAGTAATGAAATGACTCCGGGATATCTTCGTCGTCTGTCAGCTAAAATACGAAACGTGAAAAATCAAGCATTTCGTATCTCAAAAGCTTTCAAAAATACTGTACTAACAGCCCGGTCCCGCCTCCTAGGATTTATTTTCATCAGTTTAATGGGGAGAACACTGTCTGTAGTCTCAGGCACGGCGACATCGGGTGATTCTTTTAATTTCAAGTTAGGCACGGGTTTGCTGGAATTAAATTCGACCTCTTCAAATAATGTCCTGATAAACGAAACATCCGACTAGATGACTACATGAACATAAAATTTTATGACTACACGGCATAATGGCTCCCTTCCGTGATTTCTTCCTAACTTCTTCAGTCAAAGACCGCGAAACCTTCGGTCAAAACATTGGAGACAATCTACCATATTCATCCGACTGCATACAAATTGTGGTACTAGTGAGCATCGAATCCCGTTCAATCATAAATACTTACATTGCTGACAGAAGGTAAACCCCCGTTTTGTTCAACATTTAGACTTCTGAAGTTTCCTGGTTGTCGACGACCTCTTTCCGACAGCGTTACGCCTCCACGCGAAAGAAAAGACGGACTTTTCTCCCCTCAGAACGGGGAGTAGGGCGAAAGAGTTTTCTCTTGTCCTGAAGACAAAATCATGATTCGCAATATAAAATCGCTCAACGCCGGCACCTGACCGCAGACTTACTTTGAGAAAGCCCCTGATGAAATTGTTCGAGCCTTTTCTGATGTCTTTACTCCTTAAAGTTAGTTTCGTGGTCATTACTAACAGATTTGATTGATTGGATCCAATTCATCGCTTGATACGCGGTGGTAAGGTACTGGATGATGATCACCAAAGAAAAAATACTGAGGGGTTTCTCAAATTGGGAGTGACTTCAGTATATCTAGGGAACTGCGCTTCCACCAAAACATAATTCAAGATATCAATTACTATGCGCATTGACGAAAATAAACGAGTAATCCAGCTTTCTCGATAACCCAAGGAGTGAAAAATGCTTCGTATCTTGATCGCAGTTTTCCCGGAGTATAGACCGTACAGCATTCCATCGGTGCGACTCACAGTGTACTGAAATTTTAATGGAGTCACTCCAGCAGCCGCCAATTCAAAAACAAGCTCGAGAAATGTGATCTTGAGTAAATCAGATTCCTGTGATCTTATTCCGAAAATTTCGGATCATTGTCCCCGCACGGGGATAACCACGCGGTCGAGTTCGTCGCAGGAACGCCGCCATGTGCATCATGAAGAGCACATGGAAGTAGCAATAGCGCCGAAACTACTTTAAAGCATGCAGCAAATAAGTACTGTACTGTACAGCACACTACTGTATTTTTAAATACTCCGCCCAAAAAGTCTCTCATGAAGATCGCAGTAATGCACCTGAAGTCATCGAAATTCAGTTGCGACAAATGGGAAGATCTTACAATGCTAAATTAAAAAAAAAAGAAAGAAAAAACGCGGACACTATATGCGGGAAGGTGCAGTAGCTGACTGCGGGAGGAAAGTAAATATATATGACGTGAATTCAGCCGGAACGCGCAAAATGGGTAAAATACTCATGATTTTTCTAGTCACTTTCATAATGAACTGAAACTCAACTGAAAATGTGGGAAGGGTAATTCTTCTGGAAGGACTTACAAAGGGAAATCCCCTCACCCCCTTCAGTTGTTTTGATGATGAATCAGAACTTGACTGATCTGGAGTTCCATTATACTGTACATTATCCTGAAATCTCTATGAATGGTGGTATCATAAATGGTCAAAAGATTCCCAAGAAATTGTTAATTTCCCCCACTGCGAAAATTACATATAAAAAACTAACAGTAAGTGTAAAAACACTTACTGGATGATCTAGCACAATCATCCAGCACCATCCAGAAATGAGAGATTCCACTCCTCCTTTTGGAATTTATTGATATTTTCTAAATGAAAGCATTCGCAGATATCAAGTGTGATGTTGACCAATTAGAAAATACAGTTTTCCAGGATTAATTAACTTCATACTTCCAGGGATAATTACTTTTGAACAAAGGAAATAATAATCTGTTATCCTCATATACATAACTACTTTGAAACCGCAGGTGATGCACTAAAACTAACTCTCAGTGTAAAAACACTAAGAGTCTTGAACAGTATGAACATGATAATTTTGATCAGATTGTCCCAGAGAAACGGTTGTTCCATGAGAAAGACCGAAATTATCAGTTAGTCGAAGGATTATTGCTCAATGGGATGAGTGTGATGCAAAGATCATCATAGTATTCCTGGTCTATGGAGTGGTATTGGTATTGCAATTTTGATGGTTTGTGGCATGGAAAAGCTCGCAAGGATTGAGCGTATGTATACTGCATGTAGTTCACAGCGTTATTCGTCGTGAACTCTGGATGATGAAGCCCAAATTACTGTTGGCTAGTCCCCCGCGAACACAAAAACATTGTACTGTACGCAACTCCGAATGATACTGTGCGGCAGCGTGGCAATAGGGACTGCTGTTGACATTTTTTCGTAATCTCATGTGCATCATAATGATCATTATGTCATATTTCTATCGATCAATAAAGATTTGAAATTGTTTGATTAATTAAAAATGTGATTTGAGTGCATGGATATGCACAGGACGGCATTTTCGAGCGATTCGCAGGGTGTCGAGGAAAGACTAGCCGCAAGAATGTTAGGCTACTCCTCGCCGTGGGTCCCCATTGCACTCTCTTGCAGATTGCTTAAGTGCGCTGCAAGCCGGGAGGGGCAGGCACAGTGCATCCCTCCCTTACTGTACCGAGCTGAAAGGGATGTGTTGTGCATTTCTGCCGCTGGCTGGGATACAGCAATTGAGCGGACAGGTTCTATTGCTGCAAGGAGGGATACTTACAAGCCCGGGAACGGGTGCAAAAAGGCTTCTTTTTTCTCAGCCTGGAGAGCAGCACGCTTCACCTTCTTGGTTTCATCGCAAGCCAAAGAAATCGACTCAAATTTCGTTAACCTTCCGTGTGCTTTCACACGTGGAAAACCAACCGGTGAACCAGTGGTCAGTAAGAAGACCTTAACTCCAATTTGAGTCATTGGAAATTCTTATCCTTGGATTCTAAATAATTAAACTCTCTACCGTTTTGCTGAATTGTTACAGTTCAGCGTCTGTCAGAATTTCGTTGATTTTTTGGTGGTGGTTGGGGGGCTTAAGAAAAAGTTGCTCACCGAAAAGAAGCGACGCAGGAAACAAAGACTGGCCGTGCCCGATTCCCGAACGATGGTGAGTTCCTACTCTACCTAGCGCGCGTACTGGCTCACTTGGTTCTCTCCCTTCGTGAGCCAAGCAAATATCATGGTCCGTACGGGTCTGAATGGAAGAAAAATACACACTAACGCTCAGAAATATTTTCTACTTTGAATTTAGAGAGATTAGATTCATTAATAACCCGAAATGACGTCCTTAAACCAGTGAATGCATGCTACGCCATTGGGTGTCCGAACCTGCCCGGAAGCTAAGTCCGTGTTTATTAAGAAATATCTGACCATAAGAGAAAGTTTTACAAAAATTATACATTCTTGGAATGTTTTCATATTCGCGGAGGATTCATTCCTTCGGCAGTGTCCGATTCCAGCAATGGTCTCTAGTTCGGAGAGTTGGAACGCACCATCGCGCCCGGCCGCGTCTGCGTACAAATCGCCGACTCCGTGGGGGAAGGGGGAGGGGGAGAGATCTACTGCGAACGCCAGGAACGAAGTTCGTCAGTGCCGCCAGGCGTTCGCGAAGAGCAACACATACTCGTTGATAAACTCGGTCGAAAAGCTATTTTGTGAGTCCGACATCTACCGGGCGACGTGAAATGTCACTTCGTGTTACGAGTAATGGTCGCCAGGTGTCGCTCGGTGAAAATGTGTGTTTTGCAATCTCGTGATTGCTTTGCCCTTGACCGCCGATTTGCACGGAAAACCTGTTCTGCGACTCTCTCGAAGAAATTCTGCGGTCGGGGATTTGCACGCTTTCTGAGCACTTTGAAGGTTGCGCTCAGTGACGAAGATGGAGCGTGTCCCTGCACAATCGAAGGTCAGTCAGTTTTCACGAGGATCGCGCACTTTTGCGAAGAATTTATCCACGATTTGAGTATCAGCGTTAATCACATCGGCGGTGTTAATCAGTGAGAACGGGTGATTAATCCACTTTCCCCGCGCATCTGTTTCGTTGGTCAGAACTTCATTCGGCACCTTCGCGACAAGTCGATCCAACGTGGCGGCGCCCTTGTCGGGCTCAGTTCTTCGCGAGCCGAATCGCGGAGGGAGTTGAGCTCGCTGTGTATTTTCCCCTATGGCTTCGTTGAGATCCGCTGGTTCAAATTGGTATTTAACGAAAGAACAGCTGGAGAATACACCTAGCCGTCTAAGTGGCATTGAACGTGAAAAGGAACTCAGTTACAGGCAGCAGGCTGCGAATTTTATACAAGATGTGGGTCAACGTTTGCGATGGTGAGTAATGCATCCCGCAGCTTTTCTGTGCGTTTAGCTTATTAAACTTCTTATTACAGCAATCAACTCTGCATCAACACCGCGATTGTTTATATGCATCGGTTTTATATGCATCATTCTTTCACCCGGTTTCATCGGAATAAGATCGCGTTGACAGCGATATATCTTGCTGCGAAAGTAGAAGAACAGCCGCGAAAGTTGGAGCACGTAATTCAGGTTTCGTATATGTGTTGGTTTAATGAACGTGGTGCTGGTGCACCGAAAATAGAGCCAGGTACAGAGCTCTATAATGACATATCTCAAGAGTTGGTCCTCTTGGAAAACATCATGCTTCAAACTCTTGGGTTCGAAGTCGCCATAGATCATCCCCACAAGTTTGTCGTGAAAGGTTGCCAACTTATCCGAGGTTGGTAACAGGACTCATGGGATCGGTTTGAGGCATTTACTATCTTCTTTTTTCCAGCGAGCAAGTCAATGGCGAAAACGTCTTATTTCCTTGCAACGAACAGCTTGCACATGTCCACGTTTTGTCTGCAATACAAACCTGCTCTGGTTGCTTGTATGTGCATCCAGTTAGCCTGTAAATGGGACAATTGGACGGTGAGAAATTCCGTAAAATGTGTGGTTTAATCTGAGTGACAATGGTGGTGTCTGCGAATGAAAGATTCCAATATCTGCGGAGGGAAAGCCGTGGTATAAGTACATCGAGGAGTCTGTGACCGAAGCAGAAGTCGAGGCGATGGTCAAGGAGTTCCTCAATATCATGGATAAGGTCCCTTCGAAGTTGAAGAAGAAGGTCATGGCCTTGATGAACCCGCGATCGGAAAGCGATCGTAACGAAACTTTCGCGATGTCGGACGATTTGGATGACCCGCAGCAGATGATGCCAGTACGTCATGCACCCCAGAATGTCTCAGGGTCTTCACATCGGTGAGTGCTGTAGTAGTTTCTTTTCTTGAAGCGATCGGAATGTTGATTGCTAGCGTGGTGATTAAAAGCCTTTTATCACCTAAAAAGAAAGAACGTGTAGGAGAACCTTGTTTTCATGCAGTTGAAGTGTGCTCTTCGGAACTACGTCGCTTTATTTGATGATCCGAACGCAACCGAAGTAGATTTGTCAAGGAGAAGTTACTGAGCTGGAATTTCTTTTCTAGTTCCTGACCAACGTTAAATTTGAACCCTTCATCTTGTTAGAACTACATGTACACTACTGTACGCTGCTCCCTCATTTTGGGTCATCATTCGAGAGAAATAAATCTCCTCCTTAATTCGTACGTTAACGGAGAAACGCTGCATTTTCAGTTCCAACTTCAATTTCCTGCAAATATCTATCGTGTAAAGCGCTGATCAGTAATCTCGACTGTAGGCTAAAGCAGTGTTCGTAAACGGCGAGTTTCGAAGTCTTATGGTTGAAGTAGTACTAATATTACTGCGTTTACTGTAAATTTTCCCTCTTGAAGTTCAAGCTGGCATTTTTTGTGAAACAGGAGTGGGTGGAGGATATTCACAATGATGCGATGAGTTCAATTGCAGAATGGTGATTAAACGGTTTCTAATAAATTGTCATGGGTGGATTTTTGTTGCAGACCGATGCCACCGAGTAACTCAACCTCCTCTCAACGCAACCCGGACGCGAGAATGAAGCCTGAGGCCCATCGACCAACATCTCACGTCCCAGGCGTAGAGAGTGAGTGTCGTTCCGTTTCATCCCTGAGTGTGCGTAACCGTGCATTGAGATTGGAGAGTGCAGAAATCGTGTTGTGTCCTACCCAGTATCTGACACCCGACCGATTTCGTGTAAGATCAACGTTTGACACTCGCGGTGTCCTCAGCATCTGGAACAGATTTCGCCCCGGAGCTGTGTCCTCGGCGGATTTCTTGTCTGTCGTGTCGAATACATTGAACGGTGCTATCCAATTTTCCGTGTTCTTTTCCCAGCTTCTTAATCTCGCGTTACTGCGCGTTTCGTTCGACTCACGTTTCTTCGGGAACCTCAATTCGTTAGCGAGTTTGCTTACGTGTGAGTATTCGCTACTCTTTTGAGACTGGGTATTTCAGACAAAATTGTGCGACACCATGGCTGTGCACAAGCAATCGAGAGCTTTCTCCTCAATTGGACGGTTGTTACACGGAAATAGAAACAGTTATGGGATGTTCCAGAGCATGCATCGTTTGAATTTATTCGAATGACATCGCTTTCAGTGTGCCGTGCACAGCTTCTCGGAATCACGCGGAATCTCAGTTCAAAGATTTCGATAAGGTTCTTGTTCAATAGCAACTAAGTTGTTTCAAGATTGATCTCATTTGATTCGTAGTACGTGTTTCGGACGTTATCCTCTTGTTAGATTGATAACATTGTACTGTATGTCATGCGTAGTCTAGTTCCGTTAAGTTCATGTTTTCCGTTGATATTCGCTTAAAGATGTGAACATTCTTTTACATTGTTTTGGTAAAGAATGAGGTTTCGGCGATGAAGAGTAAATCGTTACTGGATCATGTACTTGTGAAATGTTTACTGTGATAATATATTTTAGGAACTTCGTGCGAGGGATATAATGCTTTGTATTTATTGCTTCATATACCTGCTTATCACTGCTTCGTTTTGTAGTATTCAGCATTCCCGGACGTATTGTCAGGGAATTCTATGGAGATGCGTATTTTCAGAATATCTACTGAATTTTGCCAAATATCGTGTGAACTAGAAACTATATGTTGTATCTGACATCAAATTCTCGCTTTGTTTCGTGGAAATGTTCAAGAATCGTGGCTGTGCGGAATTTTCACGCATATTCGTGTGATAGCGTCTACTTTTTCGTTTTTTTTTTTTTTTTTTTTTTTTTTTTTTTTTTAGTTTATTGGTGTGATAGCGTCTACTTTTTCGTTTTTTTTTTTTTTTGGTGAGGAAAGTTACGCACACGGAACTAATATTGAGCATTTTCAGATCTTAATTTTTTGTCGCCTTGAATCTATGAACAACCCGGTATGGAAATTTTCTCTGCCCCTGCCTTAATTTTTCTACACTTAATGGCCATGGGTTGGATTGGCTCGAATGAGGTGGAAGTGAAACATGCTTCTTGTGGATTTTGAAGGGGTACATGGACATGGGTGTATTTTACAACTAGCGGAAGTTGAAGATGGGAGCGATCGTGGGTTGACGTTAATTCAGTTTTCCTGCGACCGACGTTAGTTTCGTATGTCCCTCGGTTTCCTCGGATATGTTTTCAGGCTAATGATGTAATAAATCTTTTGTCCAGCTGTCCGATGTTGAAGTGGTGAGCCTTCGATTTTCGCGCTGTGGTTCCCGGTGCAGTCGGCGATGAATTATGAGTTGCCCATTTTTTCTTCATGATAAAGCGCGAATGCATTACCTCGAACAACTTGGAAATAGCATTCCATTGCGATGATTTTTTCATTTTGGCAGGAAAGATGATCGTGGTTTGGAAGTCCTGCTTGACTAGCTCCGTGAGCCATTGCTTTACGTTTATTTCAAGAAACCTTCAGCCCTTCACCAGGGAAGGATTGCGCTTTTATATCATAACAAGGCTGATCCAGTGTAGCTTTATATGAACCATAGACGTTCTTTAGTTTAGTTGTTAGCGCTTGAATATGATGTAGATTCTCCTCGAATCCCTGGGACACTAACTAAAATGTGGAATAGAGTCTGGATGGCGGAAGAGAGCTACAGGAAGTCGGAGTTGCTATTTAAACTGTGAGGTTCATTTCATTCAAGATCCTTGAAATGCGTGCTTGCAGTACTCCTGGGCACCTCACGATCTTCCGCTTTTAATCATGTTTTGCGGCCATTTCAATGCCGAGGCATTCTACGTGGATGTCAATTCATAATGCACTTATGCGTATACTTTGTAGGGAACACTAGCAACGATTGATGACAGTTTCATCCTACATCTTTTGAGAATGTGTGTCTTCGTTTCTAAGTTCGGATTCGTGGGGGTTGTTTTTCACTATGCAAGTTTGTTCCGGAAATTAATTGAAAAAATTGTATCGATTGCACAAACCGTGAGACAAAATCCCGGGATTACGTTATTCTGAGTTCAACAATTCGGGAGAGTGATTCGTTGGCCTTTCGGAACTTACGTCATATCAACGATGCGTACATTATTCATGTGGATTCATTCGTCGTGGATTTATTCATTGTCAAGTGTTCAATTTCCAGAAAGACATATGGCAATTTCTAGAATGGACATTTCATGAGTGTCCCTAGGACACTACTTTCGATGATATCGGTGGTGATTTTATGGGTCGACGTCGGGCTTTTTTCTTTCCTTCTGGAAACGATTTATGGGTTGATGGTTATTTCTTATCTTGACAAGGATCCGGTATCAGAGCATCAAGACGTGTATCGAGATTATTTCCGTTGTCTCAGAAGTTGAATTAATTTCGTGCCGAAATTATAGATATTGAGAACTGCGGTATTGTTTCCGGTTCTTTTTCGTTACCTAGAGACGTGTTACTACAAGAATCAACTCGAGAATTTGCCTTCCTAGGTTCGTTTTATTCAGGAAGTAATGTCAGAGCACCTTCATAATGCTGATTCGATTTTGGTACCTTGAGACGGTTATAACAACTTTCTTGTGATTTCTGTGTTTAAAAGATTTCGTCGATCGAGGTATAGCGATTTATGTATTGAACAGAATTTTCATATTTGTGTCTGTTATTCGTTTTCTGGGGTTCACGTTGATTCAACTCTTATGTTTCCATTACGAAGGAGGTTCATGACTAGTATGACAGTTCACTCTGGCTGTAATTTAAGAACTGTTCAAACCTTTCTCTTGTCAAAAATACTGTTTTCTAATGCAGCGGGCATAGAGCATGAAAAAATAACGGGAATACGACGTGTCTGTCGTATTCCCGTTATTTTTTCATTCAAGCCTTGTTTTGTTGTAGGAGTGATTCATATTTCCACGAAAATCACTCAGTTTCCAATTTTATTTGATTGGATATGGTTCGCTCAACCGTAGTACTTCATTTCACTGGTGGAAATTCAGTACTGTAAATTCAGGAAATGATTATTTAACTTCTGGGAGCCTCGTCCGTATCTTCAATTTATTTTCTATGTTTCCGTGTGCGTTGCAACGATATTGCCGAGATTCAGATGGTTGAAGGATGTGGGACTCTTTGATCTGAGTCCGTCGAGAAAATATTTCTGTGATGTTTTAATTTTATTTTTAGTTCATTATCGAAGTTGCTCGGGGAATCAAGGTTTTATTTTCATTTAAATGGCTTCGTTTTGGGTTTCGGCTGTGTTCCAAGTCATTTACTTTCCTTCTGGGGTCAACCTCGACATTTCCTTGGTCGGTGTTTCATTTGTTTTCAGTCGGGATTTTAGCCTTCTCATTTGTCGCGACCGAATTTCGATGGTTTCAGACGCATTGCGGCGATTTTCTTGTGGTCCCATTTGTTCTGAAGTTTTGAATCTTCTGAATTTCACGCACGAGGTTATCGAAATTCTTATTTCCTTCAATGAATAATTTTCCGAATTCCTCTCTTTGTTGATGCCCCACGTTAGTTGACCTGTTGCGATTGTGTTACGATGATATTCTAGTCATTCGAATTGCTCGTTGAATTTGCAGACAAGCGTCCTTCGCAGCCGCCGGGACACCCGTTGGCGTCTTCCCACATGCATCCGAAGCCAGTCGACACTTCAAACGCTGCTCGGATACCCAAGCCCGGCACCCAACCGCCCACAGCACCCAGCAGCAGTCACCCTCCGAACATGATGCTGAAACCGCCTCCCAATTCTGCCGCTGCTGCTGCAGTGCCCGTGAACCAGCCACATCAACGACCTCCGACCTCTTCCTCCTCCTCCTCTTCGTCGTCGTCGTCTTCTGCTGCTGCCATGCATCAGAAGCATCCGCACGGTGCTTCGTCGCAGTTCAATCGCCGCTCTCACGCTCCACCGCCTCAACAACCGCCACCTGGAGGACCCCCTGTAGCTGCTGCTGTTTCTGCTGCTGCCACGACTGTGGCGACGACAATGCCGCCTCGGAACGGTGCGCACGCGGTTCCCGCGACGCAACCGCCTCCTTCGCGTCTGCAACAGGATCTGAAGCGGCGTCCCGCATCTCCGCCATCAATATCCGACGTGGACGCTGCGAAGCGCATGAAAGTTGAAGCTGTTCCGCCGCAACAACAGGTGATCCCTCAGCCCGTGGTGTCACAACCACCTTCGCAGCCGCCTCCGCTGCCGCCCTTCGGTCTGAAGTCCCCGTCACCAGTGAAACCCCGTCCGATTCAACCCATCGTGTCGCCGATTGGATTTGGCTTTGGGTCGGACGACGAGACCAAACCCGAGCCGAAGCCGGAAGCTGCCCCTACTCCGAACGGAAACCCGGAACATCACCAGAAGAAACATAAGAAGGAGAAGAAGAAGCACAAGGAGAAGCATAAGAAGAAGGACAAGAAGAAGAAGAAAAAGAAGGAGCGGGATCGCGAGAAGGAGGAAAGGAAGCGTGAGAAATTATTGGCTGCTGGATTAGCGAGTCGATCTTCGGAGGATTCATCCAGTGGCGGCGAAGAGGATGAAGAACCTGGCCCGTCGTTAGTTAATTTTCCGCCGAAACCCATCAAGCTCAAGATCCCGAAAGAAAGGCTTTCAGAATCAAACACTCCGAGCTCCTCCCCGTTGCGTATGAAGATTCCTGTACCCAAGGTAAGTTTTACAGCACTTGAAAGTGTTGATTTAAAAAAAAAAAAACATTGTGTTGAGCACTGTATAGTTCCAAAGCTGACGGCTTTTTCATAGCTTAGCGTAAGTTGGATCGCATCGAACGCAGAAATTTTCAGGTCAGGTGCTTAATGATCAGGATTCGTAATGGTTTTAATGAAGTTTTTGGAGTTTATCAGCGATGATAGAGCTGGTTTACGTTGAAGTCCGTGTTATTTATCCTGAATTGTTTCTAGTACAATAATTATATAATGGTCCGACTCACCACATCGAATCTTGAACAGTAAAATAACTATTGGTCGAAATCAGAAAGCGTCCTATTGATTGTTCTTTTGTATGATTCTTCGCTTAATCACTTCCGCTGATCCTGTCTATTTTTCTTTATTTGCAGACGACTCCGGGGAAATGACGAAGGTTCTGATTTAGGCATCACGAGAGAATTGTTTCTGTCTTGAATTATTTCGTTTGTGGCTGAAGAGTGTTTCCTGTGGAAGATCCGGTTGTTACCTATTTTCTTTCAGATCTTCGCCTCTCTTACAATCGTTTTTTCATCTTGAAAGAGAGTGACGATTAGGGGGTTTTTTACGCTGTCTGCGGAATTGTGGATGATCTTGTTATTAAAAAAATGAACGTTTCCGGCTGCCTTAATTAGTCGAATGAAGCAGGAGAGACGAACGTTGTTCTGGAGCTGTGATCAAGTTGATTATTGCTTGTCTGCGTGCATATATGAGTTGGCTCAATGTTCCACGCAACTCTATTGTTGTTGCGCTAAAAGTCTCAGGATTTTTTTCCTTTTTTCGATCGTAAGGGTTTTTAGGATGCCTGATTTTTTTTTTTGAGGGGGTGTTGGCGTGTGTTGCGATGAATTGTACGAGACGACCGCTGGACTTAAATGCAGGTTTGTCTGTTGTTGAAAACGATTTTTTGTGCGTCCTTACTTTCACGGTTGAACGTATGGCTGTTACAAAAGAGGACTTCTTATGCGTTGCAGATGCTTTCGAAAGTGTAATTAACTCGTGTTTCTCTTGTAAAATTTGAGCGGACTGCAAAATTGAAGACGAATCACCACTGTTGTCTTGAGGCCCTTTTCTTGGTGAGTCTTCTTAATTTTGTTGTTTGTAATCTCAAATAGTCGTGGGTGTTGGTTATCGTGGGAAAACCCGATCGTGTCGCTGTTTAAAAAAAAAAACACCTTATTTGTCCACGAAGGCAGAAAGTCGTATCCTTTCAAGCTTGAAATTCTCGTGCATTTTTGTTTTTTTGTGGCTTGTAGAATGATTCCTATAAAAATAGCCGTTCCAAGTAAACGCAAGACCTCTATTCAATTGTCCATGAATATAAATATTGGAAAATTCAATTCGGGATTCCTCATCAACCCTGTCTGTAATCTATTGGCATTCGTTCAGTGAATATTGAGTGTTCGTTACAGTACTCTGTTGTACTTCATATGTAGTAACTTTCGTTCATCATTTGCATCATCAGATTTATGGATTTGATTTTGTGAAATGTTTTCAAAACGACGGAAATTCTCTGGAGTACCGTGGCGTAGAACTCGAACGATCTTTCCCCATTTCTACAAAAAGGACTCTGCCTTTGAAGCCAGATATATTCAAGTACTATAGTGATTTGTGATCCATCATATCCGTTGAATATTATGAAGCCTACTTATAAATTCCATTCCAGGAAAAGTCAGTCGTATCTTTGGAATACAGTACTGTACGCAGACAGCTGGCACTTGGCCCAAGTGAAACCCGAATTGTCCTTTCAAATAACTGCTACTGTATATGAGATGAACTCATTTTTGTCTCTCTGTTCATCTGTTCTGTCCAGCACAATCAACCGGTCTTGTTTGTGCTGGTTTTTCTGATATCCTTTTAGAGTATCTGGAATATACTTGAAGTACACAGTAGTCCAAGCATAGAACTCTATTGGAATAAGGAATTTAAAGGTGACTTTCACATTGATGAAAATAAAATGGGCTTTTAGGGTCTGCTCTCTTTGGCGAGGAATAGTTTAGGGATGAGAAGGATATCTGTTTTTACATTTTCAGTGAGAAGATATTATTGCAAGATGTAATGGAGAGTACAGTATTGTGAATGAAGTGTGTTGACCAGAAATAAGGACTGTGTTCCTTTATTTCTCAACTCACAGTCCTGTAAGAGAAAGGACAACAATTTGAAATTTTGGGAATACAACAGCAGTTGAAATTATCTGATGAAAAATAAAAGATTTCTCTCCTAGTCATGCAATGGACAAAGTCTCACTTGCAGAAAGAAATACAGTAATTCAATTTTTTCATTCTGAGAAACATTTCTTCAAGCCTCCCTTCCTAATTTTTAAAGACATTCGAATGTATTATTGGTTCTTAATTTTAAAAAAGCATAAACTTTTTTGAGTCTGCAAACATTTCATGAAAATTGGCTGGTGCCAGAAAATTGTATGAAAATTTCCTGGTCTGTGGGCCCAAAAAGGTTGGCAAACACTGTACCAGAGGACATTGAGCATGTAACCAGTATCAAACATCAGACTTGAAATTTTTTTATAGGATGTTGAACGTGGTGCCCAGGTGTGGTGGGGCACTCTCAGCTTGTACAGTACTGAACATAATTTGGTGTTAAAAACTTAGAATATCCACTTTAGCAATGGGTATTCATTTCAGTTCTTCCCTAAAGATATACTGTACCTGCCTTTGCATTGACAACAAGTTAAGAGAAAAGTAAGGTTTCTTCTCATAGTTTTCCCGCATCTAATACACTGAATTGCTGATTTATATTTGAAGCATAGCAGCGCGCGAGCGTAATTCTCTACTGCCCGTATTTAGTGTGTAAATTTGAGATGACGTCATGACGTAACCTCGAATTTTGAATGTTTTTGCGAGGTCCCGTGAAGTTTGACTTGGAGAGGTTTGACTGTACTATACTTTGTGTGAGAAGAGAGAAGTTTGTAGAGTCTAATCTTTTTTTTTTTTCATTCACAAAGGTTAGACGCAGTCAGCCATGTCTGATAGAAAGGCGGAATTGGAGCGCAAGAAGGCCAAGTTGGCTGCCTTGCGCGAGGAGAAAGAACGACGACGAAAAGAGAAGGAACAACGCGAGGTTGGTATTTTTTTTTAGCTCAATAAATTTAAATATTGTTCATCTTCTTCAATTATTATTTTTTAATTAATGAAGGTGGAAGAAGCTGCGATTCGTGCCATTCGTGGAACCGGCGGGGAAGTCGGCGATGTGCAAACCGAAGTGAATAGAGTCCTGTCGGAAGTGGGGATCCTCCCGGTTGATGAGGTTGTAGGAAAAATTGCGTCGCTTGCGCCGCCCTTGAGCGAAGTGGGCGGGCAAGGCAATGTTGCTGGCTTTGCTGGGGATACGGGTCAATCGAAACCGTTAGTTGTCGCACGTTATTCGAAAAATGCATTTTTTTTGGCAGTCTTGATTCTCACAATGTATTTTTTTAATGGAATTCTAGACGGAAGAAAGTGAACTTGTCCGTGGCGAACGTGCTTGTGGAGAACATTCCCCCGAAGGAACAAGTCATCTATGATAAGGAGACTCAAACTGCCGGATCTGCTGGACCTACTAGTTGTAAGTTTATGGCGTGGAGATCATTGTCTGCGTCGTCATGCAATACTGTGGATCCCCGCATAACGAAATTACCGTATTTACTTGAGTACCACGCGCATTTTCTTTCTTTTCTCAAAATTGAGAGCAAAAAAAGGGGTACGCATCATAGGTAGGTATACAGTAAATTCACAAATTTGAAAGGCAAGAAGAAGCAAAAGCCTTTCCTCATTTTCTTATTTTCCTCCATTTTTGGAGAAATCAAGAAGTTTCGGTAAAAGAAAACTTTTTCAAAGTTGAGCGATTTTTTGATAAAAGGAGTCATTTTCTACGCATTAAAAATTTCATTGTTCGAATTTTCATTATGCTGGGATGCACTGTGATAAAAATAACGAATAGCGATTTTCTAAAGGCTTAAATTTTTTTCAATTGTCCCCTGAACAAATTTGAGCCATCCTTTCTGGACTGTACTGTCGTATATGTTTTGGGAATCAAATTTTCTTGACGAATTACGATTATTACATGAACCCTCTAATCACGTGTTTTTGTTTGTTGTAACGCATATGTATTTTTTTCTCTCGAAAATTCAAGGTAAAACTCCTATCGTTATTCGAAGTTGGGTGATTTCGGTTTACTTTTGGTCAGTAAATTGTAGAGTGCTTTTCAGTTTTGGTATGTGTGTGATGTAGGTGACACCTGCCTTAGATTATAGATTCGTTTCTTGAGTGTATACGTTGAGAGAACCAAATGAGTTGAGTATCTTAAAAGGTATAGCAATTCTTGCGGGCTTGCAAATTTACAGTATCAACGACCATATACAGTATTTTCGAAAACCAGATCAAAGTTTGATATTCCTTCATGGTTCAGTGAGCAGTAAAAAGTGAAAACTGTTCGATATCTCCAAGATTTAAAAAATAACGTAGTATAATTAAATCACTGTTTTTTTGTTTGTTAAGAAAATTATGCGTATTCGTTACAAATTTTTAGTTTCCGCGTTTTTTTTTCATGCCGCAAAGATTACGAGGATGTTTGGTGTAAATCTTCTACAAAAGGTGAATTAATAGATAAAAATAACGAATAGCGATTTTCTAAAGGCTTAAATTTTTTTCAATTGTCCCCTGAACAAATTTGAGCCATCCTTTCTGGACTGTACTGTCGTATATGTTTTGGGAATCAAATTTTCTTGACGACTTACGAGTATTACATGAACCCTCTAATCACGTGTTTTTGTTTGTTGTAACGCATATGTATTTTTTTCTCTCGAAAATTTAAGGTAAAACTCCTATCGTTATTCGAAGTTGGGTGATTTCGGTTTACTTTTGGTCAGGAAATTGTAGAGTGCTTTTCAGTTTTGGTATGTGTGTGATGTAGGTGACACCTGCCTTAGATTCTCGATTCGATTTCTTGAGTGTACACGTTGAGAGAACCAAATGAGTTGAGTATCTTAAAAGGTACAGTATAGACTTTTTTGCGGGATTGCAAATTTACAGTTTTAACGACCACATACAGTATTTTCGAAAACCAGATCAAAGTTTGATATTCCTTCATGGTTCAGTGAGCAGTAAAAAGTGAAAACTGTTCGATATCTCCAAGATTTATAAAGTAACGTAGTATAATTAAATATGACAAAAAAACAAACAATTCTTTTAATACGCATAAGCAATGTTTAAAAATCAAAGGCGCAAAAAAAAAGTACGGCGTTTCTAATGCTCCTACAAACCACATTTAGAAGATGTTTTCCACTTAATTACGTGTGTACGAGTTTCGACTTCTAGTCGTTGTTTTAAAATGCTTTCTGCTTTTCATACGTACTTTCTTACCTGCCATCTTTCGTGTGTCAAAACTCGTCGCTTTGCAGCCCATGGCCTGGATTACTACGGTGAGTTCCAATTCTATCTTCTTTCGACTGTCCTCTGCTTCCTTTCTTTTTCTTGGTGAGCATGAGGAAGAAAAGTGTTTTTTTTTCCTGTGGAATGAGAAGGGTAAAATTGATTGTTCGTTATGTTTTTTCCCCGATTTTTTTTCCGTGTTTGTTTCCGCTCTCACTCACGCGTTGTGTGTTGGCTGGGTTCTTCCTCGGATTAAACGGATATAGACGATATCCATCAGACAGCGTTGGAGTGGGACGATGAGTTCGAAGGTCCACTCCTCGAGTCCTTGACCTGACATGAAAGAAAAAGCAGCGGAATAAACCCTATGACGGCATTACGAAAACGCTTAGAAATTTTCTCTCCGTAGAGACCCTGACAACCTTGCTGCTTAAAAAAACATTATTTTGAGGCTATGTGCCAAAATATTTGTTTCGGTGTTGTGCAATAATTTTGTGGATTTATTTCTCTCGTCTGGGTTAAACTTTTTTTGTTTTGTGCTCTGGAATGAGCCAGGATTTATAAGTGAAACCGTATATTTCGAAATAAAATCTGAAGAATCCGTATACCGCAGTGCTGTCCAACTCAGACGTGGCCAAGGGCCTGGCCAAATTGCAGAGGTGGAGAGTCCTCGTGGGCCACAGTACACGATAACAATTTTGCTTTTTCTAATTCCCCCCTTTTAAATGATAAGATTCAATTTTAATTGAGGTCTGTGAATTGAATCCCAAGCATATCCTTGTAGAATTTTTAAAGGATGAAGCAACATTTCGAAATTTTAAAATCATCTTTCTGTATGTATTTTGAATAGTGGCAGCTGCTGCCTTGAAAATTATAGGGAAGAGACTTCGAGATGAATGAGTCCCTGCGGGCCATATGTTGGGCAGCACTGATATCCAGTACCAGGTACATTAAACCTTTCGGAATTCGTGAATGCACGCGTACGTTTTCCTCGTCAAATTCTGGGAAACGTTTTCGTGAAAGTCGTGAAGCTTTTGCGGGACTCCGAATCCAGATGCGTAGGTTTTTCTTACCGTTTTGGGAATATTTAACCAAAAAGATATGTACACTATATCGAATTGAGTTTGCCGGGTAATTTTTGGTCCTGTAACGGTTTTTGTGTGAGGATTTTAAAACGCTTTGCTGGAAATGGCTGGAATTTCCAACTCATGAACTCACTCCAATATGCGGTGTAACCTCACTTACCAAATTCATTTGATTGTACGATAACATCGAAGAAAATCGTCCTATTGTCACTTCTGAAGATGGAATATGTACTCAACCAGTCATTGCGAATTTAATTTCTAATAAAAATCGACTTAATATCGGGGAAAGTTCGTGGATCGAGTTGAATTGAATACTGTACATTGGTTTCTTCTGGTGATGAACTCCGTATATTCCGGAGGCAGTTCATTGCTAGAAAATCCACTGATAATTTTACTGTACTACTAAATAAAAATGACTTTTTACCTGTTTTCAAAAAGAAAAAGAAGTGGGTAACTGAAGGCTGTGCGGAATGTCGACCGCCTCTACCCCTTAAAAGATACCTTTGAAAAATTCCTTCGTGATCAATAAATTACCAAATCGAAACGTGGTTCAAATATACGCCAGAAAATTTATCGTGGAGAGAATTTCGTAGCAGAACACCAGTAAAAAATGGGTTCAGAACCCTGTTTGGACCAAAAGCAAATCGTTTATGGTGAGAAAACCGCGAATCCTGTTGCTCTTTCAAAAAAAATTGAGGCAAGTACATTTTGAAAAAAAAAGAAGTGCGAACTCCTACTTCAGGGCCAAAAATTTAGATCAAGTGAACATTTCTCTGGTATGTTGCTAAGGGAAACCCGACTTTAGTACTACAGTATCTCACTTAGTGCCACGAAAGCGCGTGAGGCACGCGATTAATGAATATGGATGACAATTGAAATAACGACACTAAATAGTCGAAAATTGTGTTCAAACCGTTCCCTTCCTTTCATGAAAATTGTTCGTCTTTAAAGACCTTTTACGGACGTACTGGGTCTCAAATAAAGTCAGCTTAGTTTTTAAACAAATTAAAACTTAGCAGCAACGTTGTAAAGGCCTGACCGGCCCGGCAGAAGTCGAACACCGACGAAATTTTTTTGCTTCCCCCTCTATCATATTTTATTTTGCTATGAGGTTGCATGTGTGGGCTAGTCGTTGTGGCAGTTTTGAATCATAAAAAAATAATGAAAAAAACTTGGACCCGGGGGAAGTGCTGTTGCAACTAACACCCAACCAGAAGCAACCACGCTGGATGGCCTGGCCCGGAAGCAGAGAAGCAAATACAATTTTGTTCTCACTTCTTTTCCGCTTTCTTTTCAGTTATCCATCCCCTGTTCGCTTATTGCTCTAACATGATTTCCCCCGTTTTTATTTTTATCATCTCCATGCCGGAAGAATCCGAGGAAGAACCCTGTGCTCCGACGAATAAGTTGTGAATGGTTGGGTGCTGGTTGTGGTTTCTCGCACTGTTTTGTTGTTTTCAATATCTCGGCAGCCACTCTTTTGGTTTCTGGCACTTGGTTTCTTATTTTTGCACAATCAGTGTGACATGATCTTGCAAAAAAAAAATGCTTCATTGGCTCTTGCACGGATATCGCAGACAACTGCATACTACGGTACCCTCCGCTACCTCTTCCGCTCCTACTGTCAAAGCCCGGCGTAATACTGTGTGGAGGCCATAGTATGTTCTTTGAGAACGGTGGGCCCCACAACGTGGGCCCTTACGGGGATGTCCGTGCTGTGAAACCAGCAATCACTGAGCAAGAAGCTGGAGACGATTCTGCTGAAGCTAATGAAGAAGCTAATAAAAAGAGTGAGTCAGCCCCCCCCCTTCTTACTGATTTTTTTATGATGTTAGAGACTATTTTTTTGCCGCATCCATACAATGAAATGAATCACTCTTTTCAAAAGAAACGATTCGACCTTTCACAACAGCAGATTTTTACAAGGCCGTAATGTTTTTTTTTTCTTCTTTGGAATTGTTTATTATTCCAACTGAAGAATCCCTTATGATGGTTCTGCAGAAAAATTGAAGGTTTCTCATATTCATGGACATGGTGTTCCTAAGGTAGGAGTTTTTCAGGGAATTCTCAAAAATGCTCTCAAGGTGAAGGAGACCCCTTTCAAAGAGGAACCATTTGATTACAGGAGAGATTGTGCATTACATCACGTTCTGCAATCTGGCTTTGGCAGAAAAAATCCAAGGATCTGATGGTGCGCGAAGTATGTAGTGCAGAAATTTGTTGTGGAGAGGATTCTGTTGTATGCATGTCCCATAATAACCGTATGGGCCCACAACAAAATGTGTCATACAGATAATATTGTAGTGGACAAAATCATTGTAGAGAGAGTCCATGTCTATTAAGAGAAGTAAAACTTGCATCTGACATAGTGAGGTTTGAAGTTTGTTGTCCTAGACCAGTGTTCCCCAACCCATGGTCCACAGACTGACATCAGTCTGGAGTAGTTTTTTGCCAGTCTGTGGGAAGTTTTCAGCATAATAAATTCATCACAATTTGGGATGAAGTTAGTTATCTTTGCCTAAAATTGACCTTTCTCCTAATAACGCTGGACAAATTTTCACCTGCTGAAATGTACAGTGCCTCTTTTCATACTGAGAAACCTTTCTAATTGTTTGATGATATTCTTAACTGAATTTTTCTTGTAAATGCCTGGCTAATAACATTTGAGCAAAACTTCAGCAAGTTTTCAAAAGTTATATGAAACTTTGCTGGTCCACAGACATTTTTTTGGGAATCTGCAGGTCCACAAGGTGAGGAGCTCAGGAACTGGACTGTACTTTCTTTTTCGTCGCCTTATTTGGGATACTGCCGTAATGCTTTTGCGAATCTTTAAAAGAGAGGCATCTCTGGGACTGTTGGAACGACGAATTTTTTTTTCATTATTTTTGAGGCTATGTGCCAAAATATTTGTTTCGGTGTTGTGCAATAATTTGGTGGATTTATTTCTCTCGGCTGGGTTGAACCTTTTTTGTTTTGTGCTCTGGAATGAGCCAGGATTTATAAGTGAAACCGTAAATTTCGAAATCAAATCTGAAGAATCCGTATACCGCAGTGCTGTCCAACTCAGATGTGGCCAAGGGCCTGGCCAAATTCCTTAGGTGGAGAGTCCTCTTGGGCCACAGTAGGCGATACAAATTTTGATTTTTCAAATTTCCCCCTTGTAAATGAGAAGACTCAATTTTAATTCGGGGCTGTGCATTGAATCATAAGCATATCCTTATGCAATTTTTGGAGGATGGAGCAGCATTTTGAAATTTTAAATTCATCGGTTAGTATGCATTTTGAATCGTGGCAGCTGCTGCCTTGAAAATTATAGGGAATATACTTTGAGATGAATGAGGAGTCCCTTATGTTGGGCAGCACTGCTATACAAGGTACATAAAACCTTTTGGAATTCGTTAATGCACGCGTACGTTTTCCTCGTCAAATTCTGGGAAACGTTTTCGTGAAAGTCGTGAAGCTTTTGCGGGACTCCGAATCCAGATGCGTAGGTTTTTCTTACCGTTTTGGGAATACAGTATTTAACCAAAAATATATGTACACTATAACGAATTGAGTTTGCCGGGTAATTTTTGGTCCTGTAACGGTTTTTGTGTGAGGATTTTAAAACGCTTTGCTGGAAATGGCTGGAATTTCCAACTCATGAACTCACTCCAATATGCGGTGTAACCTCACTTACCAAATTCATTTGATTGTACGATAACATCGAAGAAAATCGTCCTATTGTCACTTCTGAAGATGGAATATGTACTCAACCAGTCATTGCGAATTTAATTTCTGATAAAAATCGACTTACTATCGGGGAAAGTTCGTGGATTGAGTTGAATTGCATACTGTACATTGGTTTCTTCTGGTGATGAACTCCGTATATTCCGGAGGCAGTTCATTGCCAGAAAATCCAATGATCATTTTACTGTACTACTAAATAAAAATGACTTTTTACCTGTTTTCAAAAAGAAAAAGAACTGGGTAACTGAAGGCTGTGCGGAATCTCGACCGCCTCTACCCCTTAAAAGATACCTTTGAAAAATTCCTTCGTGATCAATAAATTACCAAATCGAAACGTGGTTCAAATATACGCCAAAAAATTTATCGTGGAGAGAATTTCGTAGCGGAACACCAGTAAAAAGTAGGTTGAGAACCCTGTTTGGACCAGAAACAAATCGTTTATGCTGAGAAAACCGCGAATCCTGTTGCTCTTTCAAAAAAAAAATTGATGCAATTAAGTTTTGAAAAAAAAAAGAAATGTAAACTTCTGCTTTAGGGCCAAAAATTTCGATCAAATGAATATTTCTCTAGTATCGTGCTAAGGGAACCCCGACTTTAGTACTACAATATCTCACTTGGTGCCACGAAAGCGCGTGAGGCACGCGATTAATGAATATGGATGACAATTGAGATAGCGGCACTGAACAGTCGAAAATTGTGTTCAAAGCGTTCCCTTCCTTCCATGAAAATTGTTTCAGAAATTTCTGGAAAATGCCTGCATGACCCAGAGTTTATTTCAGTCGAATCAAAAATTTGTTTAATTTTGAATCGTCGTTGCAACATTTCCGGACTGGCCGGGCCGTCTTCAGCTTGTGGCTGCTTATGTTGACGTATGATGCCATGGGAGGCGATGGAGAAGGCGAGGATGACAGTTTCGGGCCGCATTATGACACACCTCCGGTATCATACAAGAAACTCTTGCCACCCGGGGTGTTGCACCCGGGAATGCCTGATGTCCGTGCTGTGAAACCAGCAATCACTGAACAAGAAGCTGGAGACGATTCTGCTGAAGCTAATGAAGAAGCTAATAAAAAGAGTGAGTCAGCCCCCCCTTCTTACTGATTTTTTATGATGTTAGAAACGATTTTTTGCCGCATCCATACAATGAAATGAATCACTCTTTTCAGAAGAAACACAACAGCAGATTTTTACAAGGCCATAATGTGTTTTTTTCTTCTTCGGAATTGTTTATTATTCCGACTGAAGAATCCCTTATGATGGTTCTGCAGAAAAATTAAGGATTTCTCATATTCATGGACATGATGTTCCTAAGGTATGAGTTTTTCAGGGAATTCTCAAAAATGCACTCAAGTTGAGGGAGACCCCTTTCAAAAGGTGAACTCTTATGATTACAGGAGAGGTTGTGCATTATATCACGTTCTGCAATTTGGCTTTGACAGAAAAAATCCAAGGATCTGATGGTGCGCAAAGTATGTAGTGCAGAAATTTGTTGTGGAGAGGATTCTGTTATATCCCATAACATGGAGAGATAACCCTATGGGCCCACAACAAAATGTGTTATACAGAGAATATTGTTGTAGACAAAATCATTGTAGAGAGTCCATGTCTATTAAGAGAAGTAAAACTTGCATCTGACATTGTGAGGTTTGATGTTTGTTGTCCTAGACCAGTTTTCCTCAACCTGTGGTCCACAGACTGGCATCAGTCCGCAGTAGTTTTTTGCCAGTCTGTGGGAAGTTTTCAGCATAACAAATTAATCAAAATTTGGGATCAAGTTAGTTATCTTCACCTAAAATTTTGGAAGGACTATGGCAGTTGAATTATCTCATGAAAACAAAAGTTGACTTTTCTCCTAATAACACTGGAAAAATTTTCACCTGCTGAAATGTATGGTACCTCTTTTCATTCTGAGAAACCTTTCTCCAAGTCCACCTTTCTAATTGTTTGATGACTAAGAATTGACTTAAAAAGAACATTTACGGACCGATTATTGTAAACTCGTTTTGAAGTCGTTCAAAAGTTTTCAATATACTTTGAAACGACCAGGTGTCTGTAAAAAAACCCTTAGACGTCCAGGTGAATTTTTTTTCCATTTGCTGGTCTGTAAGCCCAAAAAGGTTGAGGAAGGCTGTCCTAGACCTAACCAAATGAAATATTTGTCAAGTCAATAACTGTGAGTTGAGTGTGCCTTGAAACAATATTCTTCTTACAAACTGCTGGTTCTTTTCCAAGTATTGTACAACATAGTATAAACAACATTCACAGAGGAAAGTTTCAATTCCAGCCAACCAGCTAGACAGAGAGACAAATCTTCAAGTCTTCGAAGTACCGTAAAGTGTTGTCCTGATTTTAGCGAAGAAATCCTCAGGTAAGCAAGGACAGTGAGCCAAGTATTGTAAAAAACAATCTTTTTACATACCCTGGTATTCCAACAAATACAATACACGACAGGTTTGAAGTTCAAAGGACTGAGATACACAAACTAAAAGTCTTCCAAGTACAGTACAGTGTTGTCCTGATTTTAGCTGGAGAAATCCTCAGCTAAGAAAGGACTGTGAGCCAAGTGTTGTAAGGCAAGATCTTCATACTGTACATGCTTTGGTATTCCAACAAATACAATACACAACAAGTTCTAAGTCCAAAGGACTGAGATACACAAGCTACAAGTCTTCAAAGTAAAATTATACAGGGTAGCTATTTCTTACCTCACTGTTCGGACTTTGGAATGGTTCTGAAGAGTTCAATGGAAATGTTCAAATTTAATAGGAAGAGAGGAAATCAGGAAGAGGACACACCTATGCTCTGATTTCCTGACCCCAAGGTTGAACTACAAAATTACTGGACAAGATATGTGGGAAACAAGATATATAATGAAATATAATTGTATCTAACCTGGATGATACAGTACAATATTCTTCATACTGTATATTAAATAATGAAAATAATGCGACGTTTGAAGAAAAATAATAATATCGTCGGCCACACCAGTACTCGAATTTTCTCGCGTCATGGTAGGTTGTCAGTCTTGTGAAGATTACAATGTCAGACCATCGTGAGATCATAGAAATGTATTGACGCCTGAATGCCGTTCGACTTGTTCTGCGCCACTGAAGCCCTGTAGAAATTCTTTGAAACTGAAGAGAAACAAAGTCTGCAGTCATGCACTCAATTTATTCATTTTTTCTGACACTTCCACTCTTAAACCGTCAAGGAAAAGAGAAAGCTTCATATTTTTCATGAGCCTTAGTCCTTTTTTAGATAGTCACCCAAGGTTCAATCTGGTCTACGATAAAGTTTACACACACTTCCTTCTGCTCCTCCATATCAGTTCTTAACTAAATTATGCATTTATCTCCAGTCGATTTTTCGGGTTCCGATGTGAAAAAGTGTAAGACAATGGGATTTATTTTGTATATCATCTTTGAAGAACTAAGATATTCGCGATCGTTGATCGTGTTACTCGTAGACCCTTCAAATGATCATTACCCAGTTGTCAGCGATGTAAACGAGCCAACAACAAATCCATTGTAAGTTTCTATTCCCGGACAAACATGAAGCCATTGTGGAATACAGTATTCTGCTGTACAGTACTGTATTGTACTTGGTTGGAGATGAAGAGCACGAAGATTGAATGATTGTGAAGGGTCGAACTGCGACTGAGAATTTTAAAAAGATAAAAACAATATCTAATTGCGTACAGATTCAATTTGAAAAAATTATTCTCGATTTGTCTACTGCTCCAAAATTTGTGTTCGGTTTTTTTGTTGTTTTTAGATTATAAAAAACTTCCAAGATCAATCGCGCAAGTTCTACTGCGTAGATGTGACGCAGAACTGAAGATTGATGACGTGTAGTTCTTGGAACACTCTTATTACTTTGACAAGTTTTTGTGGTTTACCGGCCTTCAGGTGGAGCTTTTCAAGTGGCTGTCATTTATATCAGATAATTGTCGTAAATTTTGTTCAGTCATTCTGCTTTTGATGCCTGTATTTTCTCTCTCTCGGATACGGTAGCTAATTTCTCTGTGAAAGTAGCTATTAATTTGAATCAATGTCAAAATTCAATTTCGATCATTTTGAGTGATATATGCTGAATGGTGGTATTTTCTTTCTGCAGACAAAGAAATAAGTGATGAGGAGAAGAAAATGATAATGCTGAGCGACGATTTCCAGCGATTCTTCAACAAAACATCTAGATACATGGAACGGGCATTGGCCGAAGATGTAGACATTTTAATGGACTACACGGGGATCATGGAACGCGATGGTGAAGCGTAAGTCAAATGTCCAACTGTATAGTTCGTGGATTTGCAATCTCGAATTGAGCGCATTTGAATAAATGCAAATTAATTGCTCACGTGTTGTATTTTGCAGGGATGATCATTCCGGAATGCAGTTGTCATTGAATAGGAACTTCAATGATGACCGGTGGTGTCGTGGTCGGGTTATCACTGCAATGGATTGGTCTGCTCAGTTCCCCGAACTCCTTGTAGCGTCTTATTCTTCACGTGGTCCTGGTGTGGATATTGCAGGAGGTTCCGGACCCGGTGGAAATGACCCTGACGGTGTTGTGCTCGTTTGGAATACGAGGTTACTATTATTATTTTTATGATGATCAAATGATTTTCTCAAATTGACTTGGGTTGATTCTAAAATCTTGAGGGTGAAAAAAGTTGGTGTTCAAATTAGGTATTTACGTAGCTATTGGTTGCTTCAAAGAAAATTTAATGGAGCAGGGTGTGAGCTGCTGTGCAGAGAAACAGAGGAGTCGAGAATGTGTAATTTTCTGAAGTATGAAAATTGTATGATCTTGTTGCTGGTTTACATTTTGTGGTGTCTTTGGCAGTATGGTACTCTTCTTTTCATTGTTCAAGATCATGCCTTATTTTGGCTGTGTGCAGATTGAATCCTCCTTGACCAAGTAGGATTAGTGATCAAGGGGGGAGGGGAAAAAGGTGGGAATACTTGTTTGAAACAGATGGGCAACTTCTCTTCGGGGAAGTTTTGAACTCAATTGCATTGTTGTCATGGAAAGGTTCACTCATTTTTCAAGAGTTGTGAACCTTGAGCAATGATGCATCATTGGAATGCATTGTCCAGTGTTGAAAACATCTCTACATAGTCTCCATAAAGCTTGCCTCAGTTGAAGTGTCAGGTATTGAAACTTGATAGAGGCATGCCAGCAAAGGAACAACACAAGTTATGGTGAAGTTGGATTGTCTTGGAAGCGAAGGAAAATTTGCTGGTCTTCTCACCTTTGAAGTGCTTCCGTCCACTCCAACCAACAAGAATACTGTACATGCATTATTCCCCACCCTGAAGCTGTTTGTGTTCACCTTAGCTGCATGGCTCACTTGATTGGCATCAATCCATCTTGAGTTGCAAGTTTTTTCTATTCAATACTTCAACAGTTCCATTATCTTATTACCTGAATCTGGAGTGAATTTAGGAGGAGATGTACAGGTGATAGTGATGAACATGAGTTTGGTGAATCAAAAATTCATGATGAACCTTGTTGCTTGTGGAACGTAACATAGTCATTGACATCATCTCCTTGATACTTCCAGGTACAAGAGAACAACGCCAGAGTATGTCTTCCATTGTCAGTCTCCAGTTATGTCTGTTGCATTTGCCAAATTCCATCCAAACTTGATAATTGGTGGCACCTACTCTGGTCGTATTGTCTTGTGGGACAATCGCGTGAATAAAAGGACGCCTGTGCAGCGTTCTACTCTTTCTGCCGCTGCACACACGCACCCTGTTTATTGTCTGAGTGTGGTTGGGACACAACATGCTCATAACCTGGTGAGTTGATTGGAGTTGTCAGTTTTCTGAGTTTTATCAAGTAATGTTGAACCTTGCTAACTCAAACCTCCCAAATTTAATTTTTATAAATTACCTGTCTGAAATCTGAATTTTCTTAGAAACAATCCATTAAAAACCTACCTAACTCTAAGTTGTTCCCTTCCAAACCTCCCTAAGTTGAATTAACTGAGGCCTTCTGGCCATTCTTGACAAAGGAAAGAGAAAATTAATAAAAACAATTTTGATATGCTTTGAAGGGAAGTGGAAGACTAATTGAGCAAATAAACTCCTCCAAGCTCAGCATCCTGCCAACTCATTTAAGAAGCAATTCAAGGTCCAGAATATCACCATTTAAAATTTTTCTATGTCTCACAACAAAAATGTTTGGTTCGTTAATTCAAACCTCCACAACTCAAAACCTGTCTTAGTCAAATTTATTGTTGATCCCTGGAAATTTGTATTCTAGAGGTTTGATTGTGAAATTGTTTGCTGCAATTCAATTAAAACTTGAATGAGTTTTCATGTCTACTGATTTTGCATAACCCTGTGCTATTTTGAAATGCAACAGGTGAGCGTGAGTACAGATGGAAGAATGTGCTGCTGGGGTTCTCTGGATATGCTGGCACAAGCCCCACAGGAGATCCATGAGCTGCATCAGCCCCAAAGACAAGGGAAACCTGTTGCTGCGACAGCTTTGGCATTCCCAAGGTCAAGTTTGGGCGTTGGGATGGTTGGAGGGTGAGTTGTTGTTTCCGTTTGCATGGTACAGTTCTGTTCTTTTGGGCGTGTGTCTGATGGATAAGTTTCTGTTTTGTTATTCTCATTTTGAAAAAAATACTGAACATAAAATTTTGGCTGTTTCCCTATTTGATTTGAAGGTTTCTGGTGGGTGATGATTTGAAAAATGAGTGATCAGGATTGAACCATAGTTCTTGGGAAAGGGGCAGATGCAGGTGGAGTGGTATGCTCTTCCTGCGACATTCTTGTCTTGCGAGAATATTGTATGACAGTATTCTCTGTATGAAATGTAACATTTCTTTGACCCTTTGGGTTCTCACGCCATGTTATGAGGGTTTTCTGTGACAAAATTCTCTCTAAAACAATTTATTTCTGGTCCCTTGAATTTTGTTACTGATAGTCCACCTGTGTTGATCAAACACTTCAAGAGTAAAGCTGAGGTACTACAGTATTATTATGTCACCAAAAAGGTAGAGTCTAATGATGCCTTCCAGAAAAGAGGAGGTCAATTTAGAAGAGGGTGAAAATTAAGTCCACACACTCATTTCTTGGAATGAAATGGGACTGGATAATGCAGCCCATTGCTGTGCATTCAAAACAGGTAGAGATAGCTTTTCAAGCTCTTATTTTGTCATCCCATGCACACAGGGCCAGATTAAATCACATTTTGGCCTGATGCTGCACAATAAATGGTCCTAATTCTCCTTTGCAAAAAGGAAATGTGATTTTTTCCTCACACAGTTAATAATATAATTCTTAGATAACGGGATTGGATTGGATTGTTAAGGATAGAACTCAATCACACATAGATGTGGTAGAATTTCATCAAAATTAATTTCATTACAATACATTTTTTATATTGAATTTTTCTTGTTACTGGCAGTTTTCCATAGGCACCATTTTATAGAAATATCATTATAATGAACCCATTTTTTTTGAAGGAAAGGACACACCATTCAAATTTCTTGAGAAACTATAGATTTTTGTAGAGAAGGCTAGATGTTTAAAAAAAATGCACAGCATGATATATTTCTTGGAAATTCTTCAGCTAAATTTTATGTTGTGTGCCTTTCTTTCATTCAAATAAATAGTATCCTAGAACTAGAAGATATGTTTCTCTATTTGAAAGTAGGCTGGTATGAGCAAAGAAGTTGATTTGGAAGGAGTAAAGAATTTATACTAATAGTACAAAGGTAGGTTTAATAAAAAACAATACCTATTTCTTGTAAAAGCTTTCTGTTGAATTCATCAAATTACTGTACTTATAGTAATCATGTTAGGTCTTGAATTATCTGTTTTAGATGCATTCCAAAGTTATATATAGCCCCTTTTCCAATGAATTTATGTTTGAAATATGTTTAAAAAACAATCAGAAGACTACAACATAATACTCTATATGCTCCAACATATAAAACTAAGTACAGTAAAATTGAGATTTAATTTGAAGTGCTTGGTTAAGTGGACACAACAGTATAGTTATGTTGTTCCACTCATGGCACAAAATATGTACATGTTCAATTAGATTCATGATGATGAAGTATGTGTCTGCTGTGCGAAATGTAATTTCTCATCCCAATTTCAACTTTAACTTGGATTGCATGTCAAAATGTCATCCACTTATTCCATTTATTCAAAAATTCACTGAATTTTAACCCATGGGCTGATAACTTGTGATATTTTTAAAAATGTTGTGCCTGATAAGCACTTATTGAAATAAATAAAAATTGCTTTTCTGGATGAACACTAAAGTGAAGAAAAAGTTCAATATTTTTTCTGATCCTGCCAAAGATATTGAGAAAGATTCAGAAATCTTCTGAAGTTTCTCAGAACTTTGTGTTCACATTAGAATGCAGTGAGAGGCTCCACAAAAAAATCAAGAGAAATAATCTTCATAAACATGGAAATCTCATGGTTAATTCCAAATTTTCAAGTTAATTAATATTGCAAGGGTGGGGGATCTGCTTGTTTCCCAGGATGCAAAGTGGAAAAGTTTTTTTAGGGGTGGGGTGTTCAAAAAAGCATCTCCCCTGCAAAACAGGGATACCTCAATTTACAGAACCCAGGGCAACAATGCCAAAGGGAGGGGGGATTTGTCTAAGGAGTCACTACAGGGAATGCTAGGTTTAAAAAAATTATTTTTTCAGATCACAAGTGTTAATAAATTACTAATGTTTCAAAAATAAAAAAGCATACTTTTTTAAACACCAGCAAGAAATCACTTCAGACAAATGTTGAGGCCACCAAAGACTTTTTGAGTGGGAACAGCAGTGAAAATTTTATCCTGTCAGGCAGGGTGGCATTGTTGGAATTGGAATCTTTGATTGAATTTTCTCCTGGCTATGATTCCTTGTCACTGCATCTTCCTGTTTCTGGCCATATTGGCCTTGATTTCCTTTTTTAATGCAGAAATGATTTTGGGCTCTCAACTGATTTTCATGTCCTACATCTGGTTTCCTCTTCAAAGGTTTTTATGTGTGCAGTGTGCTGGAATTTATTTATTGGTGCCTGATTTTTATCATCATGAAAACTTTTGCCTCTTTCCTGTTTTTGCCAGATTTTCGTAATTAAAAAAAAATTTGATTTCCCAAATTGGGGAATTTTTTTCAAATTCTCCAGGGGCCTATTTTTCCTGTGGGCCTAATGCTGCAGCATCAATAGCACCCACCTTAATCTGGCCCTGCATGCACAGATTGCATGAGAGTTCCTGGTGGTTTGTGTCTCCTAGATTTGTTGTAGTGCACATGCATTTCACTCTGCTATGCACCTGTCCTTCCTGTTGTGAAAGGGCAGTAATTCCATTATCAATCCCCCTTTGTGCTCTGTTGCTCAACTGCTGTATTCAGTGCATTCTCCCCATCATGCTGTGTCCTCAATAGTGGTCATTGACCACAGGAAACCATATTGCTAACCACCCTGGGCTCTTCTCCCTCCTAAATAATGTGGGAGTGATGTTTCCCCCACCTCTCCTGCCCTGTATTTGATAAAAGCCTCTCTGGACTTGCAGTCAACACATCAGTGGTTGAAGTGCCTTCTTTGCAGAAAGAGTCCAAATAGGTTTCATGAATGTTCTTGTAGAAGAATGGTTATTGTCAATAGAGCACATTGCTGTCGAAGTGAAGTTCATGTTTGATTGAATCTGGGAAAGGCTTAAGCCAAAACAAATAGGAGCAGTTTGAAAAAATATTCATCTGGCAATACTTAGGTCATCCTTGTAAAGGTTCAAGTAGATGGTCAAACTTCCAAATCCCTAAAACAAATTTTCAGATTACAATTCATAGGGGAAATATTTGGAAAGTCAGAAAATTCTAGTATGGGAGAATTATACAAGGGCACTGTAAAATGTTTGATCTTTCCAATTTTAGAGTGTCTGAAGTGTGCTCTCTTGGAGTGAGGCAAAACTCAAATTTACCCTTTCCAGGATAAGAGTTTTATTCTGATGAAATTTTTGATGATTTGCTTGCATCAAAGTATTTTGTTAGCACTTATTCAATCAGCTTTGATAACTGTGTTGTGAGCCAGGTGTCAGAAAGTGCCTCCAGCTGTGCTGAAGCCCATTAATTACTGGTGGGCATGCTGGTATGCACACAAAAAAATGGCAGTCCTTGAATGCTGCAAGAAAGAGCAACATCAGAAAGCTTGATAGAGCAATACTCATTGGCTGGTCTTGTGAGTCCTTGAGAATGACTATTATTATATTTAATATTGTTCTACCGTATTACTCAATCACCACTGTGGGGACCAAAGCTACAATTCTCAGAACTCATTAGTTGGATCTTTTCATCATACCTTAGAGTGCTTAGACTATACATTAATGAGGTACTTGTCTGAAGTACTTTTCAAGAATACTGACAGCTATAAATATCTTGATCTCTCTATCCTGCAGGAAACCACTCTTAATGGTTTTGCCTGTCATGAGTAATGATTCTCTTCATTATACAACCATTCATAATGATAATTTCTTGTTATGATTGATGATTATCATGACAAACACAGCATATCTGTTGTGCCTAGAATGAGAGGCTACACACAATTGTAAGCTAACAGTCAAATAACTCTGAATTTAATGGTTGGGTGCCCTCAGCTAGGTCACTGAGTATGCACCAGAGTTGAATGGATGATGGTTGTGGAAGTGGTCAGGTCAAGTTTGTTCAGACTGGAGGACCAGGGACATCAGGTATAAGAAGGTGTGGGCAAGACCCACGCAAAGTTGCTGCTCACATTTTGAGGAACTGACTGATGTGGCAAATAAAGCAAACTCCAGAGAATTTGCTATTCACAAGTTTATTCACAGCACATGAATTTACAGTTTCCAACAAAGAGCAAGCTTAAGAGCTTATTTCAAGCGCGTGTGCAAATGGTTTGCCTGTAATACAAATTAGAAATACCTAATCAAATTGCAAACAGGACAGTACAAAATATACATCAGAATACATTCCCCACAATTGGGGAGCAACTCAGAACCACCCTTCCCAAACAGAGCTCAGAGATGACTGGTTCTAAACCAGGAGGAAATCCTGAGTCAAGAAGAGAGGGGGGTGGGAGTTTTCTCCAACAGTCATAAATTCCCTTGACAGCTTTAAAAACAAAAGGGGGAAAAAAGCTTCCAAAACAAGGGTGAGAAAGCTCAAGTGGCAGCTGCTGCCTGGGAACCTCTCCCTTCTCAGAATCCCACAGGGGTGGAAGTCAACTGAAAAGGTTGACCTAAACGTGCCAGCCTTGCCAACTTGGCCTGGCTGTTACTAACCAACAAAACAGAAATGCCTTGGAGTAGGAAATTCCCCATTCACCACAAATTAAACAAAATAGAACAGTGGTGGAGATTTTCCCTCAGAACAATTCAGGGATAACATCCCTCCTTAACACAACATTCAGAATGAAATACCCCAACAGAGGGTTGGCACTGAAGTTGTGCCAAAGGGCCCTTCAAATACTAGCAAATGACCAATGCACAGTAATTTAGAGATAGGAACTTAAGGCAGTCAAAAACCTAGTATTTGAAGGAAACTTCGTTCACAA